GAGTTTGAAATAAAACATATTCAGTATTCGGCAAACTAAATCATTCGATTTCGCGTCGAGTGTTGCTTTCTTCTTGGAGTCAGTAAATTTTCGATACTGAGACAATGTCTTATCAAGTCTAGATACAATGTCGGTGACTAGAGGATGACTCGTGCATGCAAAGCCTCTCGAGCCTAAGACTGCGTTGGAAATCTGCCTGATACGTATTGGAGCAATTGAAGAGAATTTGTCCGTGCCTAGTCGGCTGGTAACGAAAGTTTGAAGCTGAACCACTAGTTGACGAGTCAGTTCAGTGATCTCGCGTTCTAGAATGCTATCGGGCGAGCTTGATTGCGTTGGCGGGTTTTGGAAATACTCATCGGCTTGAGCAAACACCTCCTCGAATATCAATCTTTGTAAAGCTGCTTGGAGTAGACTGTCGTTCGTATCGTCGTCCTTTATCCTACACTTGTACTTTTGAAGTAGAGGTTTGAAACTGTCATAATTAATTTCCACTCCTTTTTTGAGAGTCGTATAATTAAACAAAATTCCATCTAGTTTTTCTAAATCTTTTCTTAACGAGTAGGCACTATTGGTATCGTTGTCTGACCATCTTATGTTCACCGCAGCTCCAAATCGCGACTCCATGGATGACAATTCACTTTCGAGTTTTGCCTTTTCCTGTCTGATCTGTGTAAATTCGGTATCTCGCAATTGTGAACCTCTACGCCACTTTTCAATCTCGTGTTGTAATTGTGCATTCGTAGATTCTAGCGTATGCACTCTGCGGTTCAATTCATCAGTCATTTTGAATCGCTGTTGATGGTCAGTTTTAAATTGCTGTTGAGGGTCAACTTTAAATTGTTGTTGAGAGTCAACTTTGAATTGCTGCTTATGGTCAATTGTTGCATTGGGCGCTGCCTGTTGTTGCTGGTCAGGTATCGCAATTGAAACTGACTGTTGCAATAATTGGTTGGGCGGCGCTTCTTGTTTCGCCTCGGCTTCCTGCCTTAAATTTTGTTGAGACATATTATCACTCGAGGACTTGTCGCTATTTCGCTATGACGGGCTGTCCGTTACAATTTGATTGAGACGACCTTGTACTGTTCGAAGGCTTGGAATGCGAGGTGGCATACAGTAAGAGGCTGTCGTAATTACTGTTATTCCCTTCCAGCGTTTGCCATGGGTGCGAATGTTTTCTTTATGCCTATTTTTATCACCATGTTCAACTGTCACAATAACCTTATCGTCTTGATTCGTGTAATAGTAATGACAATAATTTGATTGGATAATCAGAAACTTGGGCCGCTAATATTAATAAACATACAAGCTATAAATACGCGCTTCTGAATAAACTCAATAAAGGCACATGATGCATCATCCATCGTGCATTCGGGGTAAGATTTATTATTTCTCGCGCATACGATTGGATTAAACTTGTACGGCGCAGTACTGCCAATAACTTTCTTTCATGGCAACTATGATGCATGGGTTTTTAATTGCTTAATTTAGGTACTGCTGATTTCACCCATTTTATTTAACCTGTGCGGATGACTTCTCATCTTAAACCATACTTTGATAAATATCCACAACATGCTCCTGTGTTAAATCAAGTATATCTTGATTTAGTGTATGGTTAGTTTCATCGTTTATATCTCCGCGCGGCTTTACATCGGGACGTTAACCATTTGATCAAACAGTCAAGGAATGGGTTGAAGTAATAATAAAAGACATTGAAAGCCTCCGGAAATGTATCATACTTGCTCGATCTAAACCTGAAGTAGGATATAGTCCCGATTAATTTAACGGTGTGTTCTTCTACTTGACAAAAATAGTTAATATCTATTCCATTTAGCAAACTCAATTTCAAGTAGTTGTTCCATGTTCACTATTAGAGAAATGGTCTATTAGAAGGTAAACTTGGTTTAGAATTGGTAATCTGTGCTTGATACACATGTGCTCATTGTTATTTTACTATTACTATACCAGTTTATTGCAAGTAATGGATGTTATTCCATCACATTTGTCTGCTCAACGGTTAGTTTGATCCAATTTCCGCTTTATATACAAGTTTGTTTTTCCTATTTTAAATATATTATATTTACATATGTTGCAGAATCACACTTGCCATAACATCAACTGACTCAACAATAGTATACTACAAAATAGCCCATGGACTTGCTGCTCCAAATCTTGCAGATCATGGTCAGAAAAATCTAACATCACCACCCACAGTAATAGAAGACAAAACTGATACAAAAAGTTGATAGATTATTATATGCCTTGTTTTACTGTTAATGTGTATAAGCCTTACTGTATTAGTATACCAGATGCAATATATCATTGATATTTAAGATGGATTGGACTGATAAACTACAAGTATAAATAAACTTGACAAATGAGAGCATTGAATTTTGTCAAATTGTCATTCTTTTTATATTAATACGTGGGGCGTTCAATAAGTTTTTGCTGAGGGTCTTGCATTTTACAGGCTGACAATCTAAATCTGACACTAAAATACTAACCAAATAAACTAAAGTTTTGATCTTGTTTTGAAACAGTAATTGTCAAGATATCTTTGTTCAAGTTTGTTTGTCAAAACCACTGGCTTAATTTTCACTGATTCCACATACATTATTATTATTTGCTAAGTGGCAAGATGTGACAGAGATGCTAGTAATTGTAAAATTAATGCAAATTTTGTACAGAGTTTGACAGCTGGTTAAACCTTCAATGATGATAGAGCATGAATTCATACTGAATATCTGGCATAGTGCACCAGGTATTAGTATGTCAATTTGATCTGATCCATACAAAATTGATTTTACACCATTTAATATTTTAATTTGTGTTTAGCTAAGTCATTTATTGTTTATGTAAACAAAAAATGACTTAGCTTACTATAAATAATCTCAGGTATGATATCGTTAATTTGTTTTTTAAGCTTACATATTTAACATAATACATAAAGATCAACACCACATAGTAAATTACTTACCAATATGCCCTCCCTACAATCAGTGGAAGCCAGTTGGATTTGTATTTGATCCGTTTTCAGCTTGTCAAGTCTGATTCAGTTATTCAGATTTCATGCAATCTTGTCTAGTACTAGGAATCAATATCAAAGAAACAACTGATCTGTGTGAATCTCTTTCTATTACTATTCCCACCTTGAGATCATTGTAAACAGGCAAGAAATCCCACTGTAACTGGTGATGAAAGAATAAACTATTACTATGTACAAAATAAATGAGGAAAATGCAACAACTCATCCAGGTCAAAGTGCTACCACAATCTTGAGTTGAGGGAAACAGGTTCTCCACTTTTTATTTTGAAGTCACCAAGAGTGACTGAGCAATGGAGAGAATTTGGCTCATTGTGCTCATCCCAATGGAAGTCACTGATCATATTAAAATTAATTGACCCCAACAGTCTCTGTTAAGATCAGAAATTTTGAGAGAATTTTGAGAACACTGGCATCATAATCACTTCCTGAATGAGCATTTCTATTAATGGATCTCATGTGGTTATGTTATACTAATACCTAGTCTTACTTTGATATCTGATCTGAGGTGCAAAGAGGAATACTCAACTACTTGTTTTCCAGATAACAAATCTTGTCAGAAATGCACAAATCAGAGTCACAAATTGGATTTTATGCTAGAAAAAAAACTTATTAAGATTAGTATGTCTTTATAGAAATAGAAACTATACCTTGAACATCCACTAATACAATTATCATGGGATTGCATGAGAGGATGTGTTCCAATTTTCAGAACACTGAGTCAGACCCAGAGCACTGTCTCGAAAGACATAACTGTCCCCATTCTTTGATCCCAATATCTCTGTATTTTTTTTCTCAACTTATATAAAATGACATGTTTTACAATGAAGACTAGGTATTAGTATTGCGAAATGAAAAAGATTATTGAGCCAAGCCACCAAATGGTGATTATGTGTTTGTTTCACACCAAAACTTGCTGAAACAAGCTCATGTCAAGTAACTCTGATAACTTAATCATAAAAGCAATAAAACGAAAAATATATAATGGCACGGCTGATATTGATAATAAACATACTTTCGACGAATCAAAAATTATATCAAGTGAGGTAGGAGAGTGACGACAGGTGGTACGTTATCGATATCGTCCGGTTTGCAAGACGCAAATATTATTAATGCCATGGGATTTACTACTTTGGTAATAGTAAATAGTAACACAAGTAGCTACATTCATTACTCTGAGCTAACGAGTTCCAGACTCAGCCTTACTCGAAGACAAACCAGGTTAATCCCGAGTAAAGGAGCCCGTGTTGACCGTAATCCTAGAGACACACACGAGGCGTGTTTCTTCTGAATATCCGGTAACCGTCCACTTTCGAAACATACACAAGGCATATTAATATTACTTCAGCTTCTCGGTAACCATCCACCTACCAAACACATGACGCGTTTCTCGGCTTCTTGGTAACCATCCGCCTACAAAACACGAGGTGTTTCTCGGCTTTTCGTTAGACTTAAACTTGTGTCTATCCCAAAGCTTAA